GCAAGGACCATTTGGGTTTTTTTTAATTTTCAAAAATAGTCTCTAATTCAGCCCATGCTGACAGAAACACCAGTGTGCAAAAAGATGAAGTTCAAAAATTAATGAACTGCAAAATACTGTTTCCAACAAAACAACCTAAATGGTTACTTGTAACTAATGAAAAATAAATGCATGATGTTTTCAGCAGTGAAACTTTTGCTTCTAGAGTACTTGCCCCCTTGAAAATTTTCAACTTCCTTCAGAAGAATGATTATTATTTTCTCATTATACCAGTATTCCCTGACTCACCCAGCCGACAGAGCGAACTTTAAAAAGAATAAACACAGGAATTAAGAAGGTAGCACCATTAGAAATAATCACTCTATCCAAATCAGCAAAAAACTTAATTTATCTTTATCCAACATACTTTGACATTCAGCAGCCTAATAATACAAGGTAAAGGGAGCTCTCACAGCTGTATATTGATAACATTCATAATGGTCATGCATATTACAATCAGAAGTTTTCTAGGGTGCCATTTGCAAAAGAAGTCTTCTGGCATTCAGCTCATTAACTCCATTTTCATATTTCCTATTAGTCCCTGAGAATTAATAGTTCTACCTACAATATGGCTATTAAAGGCATTGTAACAATTGTACACTTAGCTGTTTGTGATGGAAATGCAACGCGGCTTTAGGGAGAAGCAGCACAGAAATTACAGCAAATTAGCGGTGATGAATACAGATCTTATTTCTAAAATGCTTTCCTTTCATAAGCAAGGTTGCTGAAGAGCAACATAAGTTATTTTAGTTGCAGATACAAAACCAGCCAGCATTACTTACCCTTAATAAGTCGCTACTATGAATCCGAGACATTTGGGGTTCTGAGACCTCTCTAATTGAGCATTTCCTTTTCAGAAAATCATCTGGATTTTGACCTAATGTAGGGTCATCATCATCCTTCTTTTAATTACTCAACAGCAGTGCTGGGAGAACTTAAAGAACCAGGGATTTTCTTTGCTTAACAAGTCTTTTGCCTCTTCAATTAAAGTGATCTCTTTAAATTGTTCAGAATTCAAATGGGGTTTTTTGGTGGACAATTTGCATTATTACCAGCTGCTCAAAAACCATAAGCTAGGGCTCCCAAAACAAGGGGACCGATTTAAAATTAAGACTTTGGGGTGGGGGCTGGACAGAAGGGAATAAAGACAAGTTCTTTTTCTTTGCCTTCTGGCTTCTAAGCAGTTACAGATTGCATTTTAAAGCTCTCCCCTGCAACCTTCAGGGCTAAATAATGACTTTTAGGAAAAAAAAAAAAAAAGAAAATCGACTTTTAAGTGAGCATATATATTGGAGATAGGGTATTACATTTAAATACCATAGTCTTAAGATTTACAAAAAAGTACCACTTAAATTGATTTAGAGATTACAATTTACATTTAAGTACTGTAAAAAGTTTTTACAATCTACTCTACTTGGTTTTCAGTTACCATGGGAAACTTAGATTTGCCATGGACAATTTTGGATTTGCATACATAGTTTATTAAAATTACTCTTGCTGAGCCATTACAAAAAATTTACTGACTTTGTATAACCTATCTCCATAACCTATTTCCAATGAAGTTTGCCAATCCCAGTATAAACTTCCAGTCATAGCTATTTAACAACAGATGAGCTCTACAGAATTCCTCACATAGGGTCAGACAGAAAGCCTTTCTCCCTCAGGACTTATTTCTACCCATCACTAAAAGTTTAAAAATACTTTATTTTGATTATATTACAGTAAGAAAGACATCTTTATTGGCCAGTTAAAGGCCACTACACCTAAAAATACTAATTAGCCTTCACAGGGAGTCATTGATGCCTTTACGATTAGTTTTTCAAGCTAAAGGTGAAACAGACACAATTAGCATCATTTGTTAAATGATTAATATCAAGTGGGTACCTAACTCTTACTATTCAAGGAAATTGGAAATAGGTAAGATTATTTGTAGTAACTGCTGAGTTGCAAGAAGCTGAACAAATTAGTACAAGTTTAATACCTATTTTTGCAAAGGGTAGGCTAATATATATGAATATAGCTTCTGGTCTGCTCAAACTGTTGCAACTTCATCCTTTGCTAATTAGACAAAAAAAAAAAAAAAGTAACATTTGTATTCTCACTAGCTCACAAAATAAATAGATTTAGTATTTTAGAAACAATATCAAAGGAAAATCCTGATGACTGCTGCAGGCATTAAATAGTTGATTCATGTTCCTGCCATGTTCAATTTCTTTCACTGTAATTGCAATAAATTCAAAGGGACTGTATGAAAATGTTTTAGAGCCTTCTTACTACGTGAGTGTAGTACCTCATCAGGAGAATAACACTTTTGAGCAAAACTCACGTATACATAAACACAGCTTCTCAAGTCTTCTCCTGGTTGTATTTTAAGTCAGAGACATTGTTTTAATAAAATACCAGAAATGCAAATAAGATGCAATTAGCCTGGCCTCCTTACTAAGGAATTTAACTTTTTATTTGCCCAGAGCTCTACTTTGGACCCATCTCTGCTCACCAAGCAGATGACTGCAGAGGCACCTAAAAGTAGACAAGATCTTAACCAGCACTACTGCTTATGTGGAAGCTTCACTAACAAGACACTCCTTGTAAACCTGTAAGCCACGATCTATTCACTGCTCTAGTTTCAGCACACATTGTGGTCAAATTAGTTTTACTGTAGGTAGGTTTGGACGCTGCTGGCAAGGTAGTTGTGGTGTCACAGAATGTAGTATGGAAAGTTTGGGTAGTAAACTAAGGTGAATAGCTCAGGCTGAATGTGATGCTGCTATGAACTGCCAGTGAAAAACTGCATCCATGAGACAAACCTACCTACACAGTCAGCTCAGAATTTTGATAATAAAATCTAGGTCTTGTATGATTCAATATTCATTTTATTGAAAACTGACACTTGAAGAAATCAACATGTATTTCTGGTCATCAGTATTTATCACCAGTTATCATTTCTGTTCGATTCCAACCTCTCCCCTGCACCTCCAACCTCAGCCACTATCAATGTTAGGTGCCCAGCCTCCCACACAGGCTGATACTGGTCTGAGATTGTAACTAACACTTCTGGGTGACAGGAGGAGTGCTGCAGACCCAGATTTGTACTAAAGAGGCTGAAACTGAATTTTTAAATTATAACCAGTTACTTTGTAGAGAAACCGTTGTAGGACCCAGAAGACTGAGGCAACATAAAACTGGTATTTGTTAATGAAAAATCACATTCTGTCAAGTCAGAGAAACACACTTGTAGGCCTGTATGAAAAGCATAGCTGAGCTATTTTCAAAGTAAACAGCAGTTAGGAATCCGAAGACAAACGCTGAGCAGAGGATGAGTTTTGGGAACAGATACAGAAGGGTTAGATTTAAGAAAACTTAAAACTTTCTAGACCACTCTCACTATCAACAATTTAGGAATATAATACTGGAGAATATTTTACAGAGAATAAATCTTTTGAAGACATAGAAAAATAGTTCACAGCATCAAGGTACCTGTAATATATTACCTTGAAATAAAACTTGTATTTAAAAGATTAAAAAGAGAAGATTATTCTTGTAGTGGTATCAACTTTTCATTCATAGAAATAGTACGCAGAGTATACCTGTTTTTTCATATATTCACATTATTGCTTGCTACCACAACTGTACAAAGAACATATTCTTAACTTACATTGATGTTCACGTACAGTAATTTTAGATACCTAAAGCAAATTTTTAAATGATTGAGTTGCAATTAAAAAAAAATGTGTAAAGATATGTACAACTAAGATAAAAGTAGAAGAAAAGAAATACACTGGCCTGACCCAAGCATACATCATATATCCAGTTAAAAAAAAGTCTCATACTTGTGCAGAAAATAAGCTTTGTAAACCAAAATGAGCAGAAGCAAGGGTGTAATAAATAATTATCTAACACACTTAAACTTACACTGTTGCCCAGTGTACCCTGCTTTGATTATTTTTAATACACAGCATCTGCATCTGGAACTGTACTGCTCAAGATTTCTTCGATTATCTTTTTTTCTGCCTGTGTGCCTTTGAAAGAACAACAACAACAACGAAAAAAAAACCCTGAAAGGTCCTCTTGGACAGTAAGTTTTAGTAAAACAAGTCTTTCTGAACCCCTGTGTACAGGATCTGGTAAACAGTAGGAATAAAGCTGATACATGGCATTAGCCTGAACTAAACCAGCTACATTACAAACTGCAATGCTAATATATTTTTGTGATCTTGAGCTCTACTCATTAGATGCATGCAATTCTCTGAGCAATTCTTCTAGTATGAGTAAAATAATTATATTTTGCTGCCTTTTTTTTTTTTAACCTTTAAATTAGAACTTTTTCAGAACCAGCTGACAGAACTTCTTCATGAAAAGCACAGAGATTTCTACTAATGCAATGACATTTGGTTTCCAAAAGTACAGTTTCAAAAAGAACTTTATCTCCTTCTTTTGTTGGAAGAGGCTAGCCAATATCCCAAAAAGAAATAAAAATATTTACAATTGACTAGTCACTGACAAAAGTTTAGGAAGATCTTGGAAGGTAGTTCAGCACATAAATGAATGCTTAAAAGGACTTACACAACATACAGTCAATCAGTTGTGTCATTCTGGGATAAAAAAATACCTGCTCACTTGTATACCATTTTCAGCTGTGTATTTATAGTAATATATATATGTACACACGCGCGCGCACACATATAAAAGACTCTTTGAAAATCAAGATACATTAATAAACAGAAGTAGTAAAAGTAACAATAACTTAAGTAGTAGTTAACATTTGTGTGAAATGACTTTGCAGAGTTTGACCAAATGCACTTAGAACATGCTCTTATTTAAAAAAAACAAAACAAAACAAAACAAAACGAAAACACCACAAGAGTCTGTAGAACCAATGCTATGTCACCACCAGGAGAGCACCAAGCAAGGCACCATTGGAAAGACAACATACTTTAATAAGTCTCTAAATAAATCAAATACTAATCTGGTCGAAAAATCGGTGTCTTTGGTAAAAACTCTATAAGGATGACCTGTATAAAAAGAAAACAAATATATATTACATGGAAGTTGGCAGCAATCCTATGATCTATCACAATAACAACTCACATGTTTAGGCTTTTTTTGTTTGGTTTTGGTTGGTTGTTTTTTTAAAAATACATTAAGTTGTGATGACAATCAAAGACTATAATGCTTTTCTTAGGGAGGAGACCATTAGAAAAGTCATGTTTGATATAATTGTTTTGGGGTAGAAAACCAAAATTTTCAAAGAATCAAATTCAATGGGAAAAGTTTGTCTACCAATACCGAACACAACCAAACAAACTTAAATAAGTTACTGATTACTTATTCTTTAACAATTCATTTACTTTATTAGGAAAAAAATTATGAAAGAGATAAACATATTCATTAAAAAAAAACAGAGAAGGCACAATATATGCAAAGTTAATCTTCAATTACACGTGCAATTCCTTTTACTTCAAAATTTTTTCCTCTTAATATAGGATTCTAAATCATGTTTATAGTTCAAAACTTGTACAGAGAGGTGTATCAACCTTTGCAAAGTTCCCATATCTAACAAATCTGCAAGTAGTTAACAAGAAACTTGACTAATGCTTTTGCATTATTATTCTTATGGTCCCAATACAAATTTAAACTATGTGTTTCTGAGCTACATACACATGATAGGGTACACTGCAGTATACAATCCAAGTATTCATCCTACTTCAAATAGAAAGCTTAAAGAAAACATTCACTTGTGCATTTTCTTTCTTCAGAGAGGCATAATACATCAGCATGACTGTATTCATAAACAAATAAATGTATCTGGTAACATAACTAAGGATTTTATTTACTTGCAAGGGGAGCTTGCCTTTCTAAGAAGTTCATAAAGAATTTCTAAATGTTTTTGATCATAAAGGAGAACACAACTTGTCTGCTTAGACAGTAAATACTTTATCTCTGACAGCATACTGAACATCAGAAAAGAAGTAAGTTTCTGATTTTATTTCTAAGGCAAACAGTTTTGAAATAATTAATACCAAAATCAGGTGTCTAAGTTTATTTTTGAAGATATTAAAAAGTGACTTATTTTCAGAAGTGATGCAAACTGCTCAAAATCCATTGATCACTGACATGAGTCAACCACTGGATGCTTCAGAAGTATCAGGGTTTCTGATATTTAGGCAAGGTTCCAAAAAGGGAGCAAGAAGTAAAGCTGGAACACTGTGTTTATGCCAAAGGTCTAAGACTATCTTGTCTTTATTTATTTAATTTAGCATCTACAACAGTGGATTTAGAAGTTCAAGTTGGCAAAGCATCAAGTTTTGGGTACAACAGTCTAATTAAAATCATCTGCTTTGAAAAAAATTGAGGATAAGTGTTTACTACTTAAAATTAAATCATGAATACAACATTAAGTTCAGTTTTTAAGACACTAGGAAATCAGTTCACTGAAAATGAGAAAATAGTACAGAGAAGTTTTGTAAAAATTTTCTCATTAAATATATCCAGAGATAATATATTAGACATTTCATAAATTGAAAATTAAATCTTTGATCTTTATCCAGCAGAACTATATGCCCATGCTTACATATTATTAATGTAAACAGGTCAACTGATTTTAAATTGTATTTAATAGAATGAATGTTCATCTGTAAATGTTGTTGGGCCACAGTATTTACAAATTAGCATTGTATGTGGTTTGTTTCAATTGCATCTGCAAAACATAGGACATGACATTGCTTTCCTGTAGAAAAAATAAATTTTCAGTGAAATAAAACCCCCTTCATTTAGGTAAAACTCAAAGCTACTTTCTGAAATTTACTTTATTTCATTTTCAGCCACATCGCATACATCTAAACAAAAAGATTTTGTAGAACAGATGTTAGAAAAAGTGGAACTTACTCAGTAGACTGAACAGAGCCATTCTGGGAAAAAAAACAAAAACAAACAAACAAACAAAAAAAAAAAACCCAAACCAAAACTAGATTTTAAAGATCTTATGCTTCAGGCTAGAAATAAGATCTAATGTAGAAACAGGCAAAAGAGGAAGACCTAAAGAAGAAGAGTCTTTTAATAGAGCTTTTGGCTATTTAATAACTTTTAAAATACTTTATATGCATGATAACTTTGTTGTTTCAAGAACAGACAAAGTAAGAAAGATCACAGATAAGTTAGAACTAATACAGTAGATATTTCTCAAAGGCTAATCTTTATTTTTAAAAAGTTAACCCTTCCTCTCGCCTGCTTCCTAGACCATTAAAAGAAATGATGCAAATTCTGGCCTTTCTTACGTTTTAGCAGCTTAATTTTATCCTGTTCTATGTACCTCCAACATATTTTGAAAATGGATATAAAAACAGCATCAAAAGAGAGCAAGAAGGTTGCAAGCTCACCAAACTGAAATCCCACATTGGACATCGTTCATTTTAAACCACATGTATCTTCTCACTGTATATTTCCAAGAAGGGCTCATGGAGTCTCAGCCAAAGACTGAATTAAAACTCCAGAGGTCGACTTAAAAATATTTTAGTGACACCAATTGGAGATAAAGATACTTTCAAGACAGTGGAGGTAAGGGGCAGTTAAAATCTAAAAAGGGTAAAGGTTTCTTAAGCTCCAACAGCTTAGTTGAAAGGCCTTCTTCCATACTTTTAGCCTTGATTAGCATTATATAAAACAGCCATATCTGACTTGCTGCGTAACCAAAGTTGTGGTTATTCTTTATACAGCATCTAAAATTTCACACTCCATCAGCACATGTTCAAGCTATTTTATCTTGGCAATTAATTTATTATTTTTCAGAACACAGTGAAGCCTTGTTTTCAAGTCATTCATAACTTTATAAATCAGTCCTGCACATGAAACCATGCATCTGTGAACCGTAGAAAATCCTTGCACTCAGGCGATTAAGCTCCTGACACCTTTACTGATTAATAATCATGAAAAGAATAAGATCAGAAGCAAAATAAATGATCATTTAATAGAGAAACTCACAAAACAGCCCTTTAACTTACATATTCCATCATGTTATTCGTTTCACATTTCCTTTTGCTTAGTCTCCAATGCAAGCACAGCTAGACAAGGAGGAAAGAAAAAGAAGAAAAATGAGCTGTATTTTATTGCAGCACACAGACTAGCCCATTTGTCCACCTTTCATATTTTTCGTTCAACAAAAGCATCTGTTTCCATACTGTGCAATTCAAACTCCAACAGTACGAAGCTGCTCCCTGCGGCACTCACCTTGTGGTATAACCTATTGTTTTCCCATTCTAATAACTTCTCAATCGATCTTCGTGTCTGGAAGACAAATGAGAAAGATTTTTACTCTTGACTGGTTTTAGAAAAACTTTGTTTTGCAGCTGCTTTTGTGTGAAAAAGAGAGAGGTACAGGACAGTGACTGAGTACAGGGTGGTCTGTAGTACTACCAAAACTTCTCTGGTATTAAATAGTAACTAGAACAGAAATAACTTTTTATGACACCAAAATAACTATCTTCAACCATTTTTTTAACAAAAACTGCCCATATATATGCTTTCTCATTCTTATAGCAGTTGTAACTTTAAAACCACAGAAAATCTGAAGTGATCTAAGTATAAAAGCAGGAACACTGCTCCTCCAGTATCAGTGGTTTAAATGCACTGCTTCTAAGAAGGCTGGCATCTAAACTGCCAAATGTTGCAATCTATTTTGCAATGCTGTAAGTCAAGAACAAATATGCAATACTCTAACCAAGAGAGAAATTTTTGTTACTTTTATATCCAGATTTTAGAGACTGAAAACCAAATCTAGGAAGTCACAGTAAATTGCACAAATGAATATTACTAAAATCTGTGATTTATATGAAAAGCAAACCCAGTATTTAGAATTCTAAAGCAAAGTTTTACTGCCTATGGTGTCCACATTTGACACACTTCAGACAGAGAAACATGAAAGCTGTTCTGCACAGCTGTTTAAGACTATGCATGCTAGTATTAAACGATTCTGTGCTTTAAAGTTTCACAGCATTTTGAATATAATTATTCAGTTATATTTACATTGGAGAAATACATTCTGACATGGTCATTTGACTGCCAGAATATATACTGCTTAGCTCTAAATGGGATTTGCTACTGACTATGAATAAAAAGAGGATAATTCATGGTGCCAGGTGTTAAGATGAGACCAACAGAGCTGCAGGTGCAAAAGGACGGAGCAATGACAAGGATCAAATACAACTTAGCGCAGCTGCAGCTTCCTTACAAGGCAGAGAGGGGTGAGGGGAAGGGATGAGAAAAGCATCTTGCTGTTATTACTACAAAATACAAGTACTGTAAATGAACCTTAACAAATCAAACTAAATGCTGTCTCAAGAAACAAGAACGTCTGAGTAAAATAAAAATTAGACAGCAAATTATTCATTTCCCACTAAATATTAACATCTTAGTTGTCAAACATCAGTTTCTTTCTAGTTTCATAGCAAAGCACTTGTGAGGAAACACTTCTAAGCATGTACCGTGGTCGTCACATGATTAAAAATTAGATCACTGCTATCTATGGGCAATCATTACACTGAATTTTTATTATATTTTATTTTTAAAAGAACAAGTCAAGGAATTATCAGAAGGTGGATGTGCCAGTGACTAATTCATCACATCAGTTGGGGAATTGAGTATTTTTGGGGTTATTGTTATTATTATGTTTTTAAAGACAGTGCCCTTTAACAATAATCAGTAGACCTCACTTGTTTCTTTGTAAAGATAGCCTTTTAGAGTCTGCTCTCCTTTTAAATGAAAATAGGGCAGCAGTTATGGTCACACTTTTGTTAATTTAGTTGCCAGTCAGCTCCAAATCAAAAGAAAATAAGGCTGCAGAGTGTAATTAACATTCAGTTCAGTCGTTTTGTCCCTTGTCTAGCCCCCAAGCTTTGTTAAAATTGCCATCTGAATGCTG